GCATTTGCAACATTAGGTAAATTAGTGTAATTTTTTCACACAAAAATATTTTGAAAAAAGCTCATGATCATTTTCTTTTTGATACTTTTGTTGTCTCCATATTGTCGGTTTCACTAATATAAAAAAATTCCCAAACGGCCGGCTGGAAGAGTTTTTGCATCAGATATTTTTCTTGCAATATTTGGTTTTTTTTTTTACTTATTTGGCCTATCTGCTAGTTTCCGGTCTTCGCTTAGCTTTTTGGTTTCTTAAATAGCCTCTTCTAAAACTGGGACCTGGAATCTAGCCTCTTTCGAAAACTGGAACCTGGAATCTAGCCTCTTTCTAAAACTGGAAAATTTAAAAAAGTATTTTTATGATTTAGAGAAAGTTTTTAATTTATTAACAAACATAAAATTAAAATATTTAACACGGGAAAAGCAACAACAAAAAAAGTGCAAAAAAAGTGCAAAAAAAAAAAAAAACCAACCTGTTTACTTACTTTATAGAGATTAATATAATGCTTATTGGAAGAACCCTAGCAGCTTGGAGGTTGAAGAGGAGAAAGTTGAGTAGCGCCGGTTTCTTCTTTAAAAGTGGAAGATTTGGGTTTACGTTTTTCCAAAGTTTAAAAATTTCTTCACTAACATTTAAAATGATGATAGACGAGTTAATTTTCTCAGTTGTAAAAACTGTTTATAAGCATATTTTATATGCCAGGAGATCACTAGCCGATAGTTTACTGTTACGTTCAGCATATCTTTCACTTTAATTTCTAGTTGCAATATTATGTTTACCTTTTTTGTCGCCAAGATCTTCATTTTACATTTATTTTTAACATTTAAGATATTGAAATCTCAAAATTTTATCCACGTTAGATTTAAACAATATTTTAAATTATTATAATACATAATACAGTAAAAAAAAGAAAAAATATAATTAAAATCGTATTTAAAAAAGGCACTTTAGTTTTTAATATAGTAAATTTATGACACTAGATGAAGTTTTATGTGTCGCTCTGACTATTTTGCAATATTTAAATAGACACATAAAATATACTATATTTTGCTATTTCTAAAAAAAAAAGGAAAAAGTTTTGAAACTTTTAAAATTTATTATAATGTTTTTCTATATAAAAAAGAACATTTCCCAAAGAGAGCCGTATGCTAACTTATACTTGGTCGTGGTTTAATGTAGAACTGTTTAAAATCAAATATGATAAATTCATGATAAAATATGATAAAATGAATAATTGTAACACAAGTCTTATTGCAGTAAATTTGTCACTAACTTTTAAATATCTTTTGTGTGACAAATGAGCTGACACTTGTTCTAAGTGTGTTTGAGTTTAAAATTAAATTTGTATGAGTTTAAAATTGAAGCAATAAATCATTTTATTCAGCATGTAAAAAAAAAAATAATAAAAATAAAATAAAAATTACTGCAAGATTACAAAATAAAAAAACAAAGATAACGCAATAATTGTCAAAATACAAAAGCCACGGTCACACAAACTAACGAAAATTTTACACGCAAAAAAACTAAAATTTTACCAACGCAAAAAAAAAATTTACTACTGAAGAAAATCATCATTAGTGTAACATTTTGACAAATATGTTCAACAAGCAGAGTTTCATTGGAAAATATAAGCTCTGAAAACAATAGTTATAATTATAGTTCTTAGTTACAAACAATAGCTATAATAATATAGTTCGTAAAAGAAAAATGTAAAGTAGAGTGGGGCTAATTGAGCTTAGAAGTAAGTTTTTAGGCAATATCTTTAAAAGAAATCAAAAACTATGTTTTTTTCTCAAACAATTTTTAGCAGTTTAAATTATCTTTCAAATATAGAAAAAATTAAGTAAATCCAAGTTCATGAGATCTGTTAGATTTAATAAAATTGCTCAACTAGCGCCGCTCTACCCTAATTGTTCCTTTACGAACTGTTTTATTTTGTTTATATTATTTATATCTGTTATATTCAGTTGAAAATTTACTCGGCGGATGACATGGTGAAAATACTTACGAAGCTTCATGATATAGGAATTAAAACTCAACATGACATCTACTTGTAGTTACTATTGGAGGTTTCTCCTTCAAAGGCGTAGACAGCAAAGTCAAAATCTTTTTCAGCGAAGTACAATATTAAGCACAAAGAGTGCGTACATAGGTGATTATACGAATAAAATGAGGACGTGGGGAGGGGTGAATTTTATAAAAAGGGCATCTCGTCACTCCAAAGCAAAACAATTATAAGTCCATTTTAGGCAAAATTGGCTTTTTTGGTTTAAAGTACTCCAATTTAAGTGCACAAAAGTCATCTCACAAAGTATTCAACTTTTGCAACTATGAGTAAAATTCAAATATCTTATGTCTTAAAAAAAAAATTAAGAGACATCTTTGCTGCAAAACAAAACTATCTTAAGTCCATATTTTGGCAAAAAAAACTTTTTTGGTTTAAAATACTTATACATATAATAAAACAAGTAAACTTAATCAAAAAAATTCAAAAGCAGTGATTAAATTTAAAACGTTAAATATCTTTTTCTCATAACAGCCAAAACGGTTATGAGAAAAAGATATTTAAAGTTTTAAATATCTTTTTCTCATAACCATTAAGATGGTCTTAAGATGGTCTTGTTTTGCAGCGACAATTTGTAGAATTTTGTCATATTTTATATAATTTTAAGATTATCTATTTGCAAGTCCATTTACATTGTTGCTTCTCAAAAACTTTAATTTTTAATTTTTTATTTGTGAAATTTTTTATTTATGAAAAGTGATAACATTTTCTATAGGTATTTTAAAAGTAATTTGGTTTAATTGAGAAGATCAAACGCTGTAATAAATTAAAAATTGAATGAATGCTAAAGTAAATAATTGTAAATAAAATTTTTAATTTCTAAAACAATTTTTAACTGCGGTACCAAGCAAACTAAATCTCATTTTAAATAGTTGGTTTTAAATAATTTATTTTACAACTTGATTTAATTTTTTTTTTTTAAAATAGGTTCATAACTAGATAGTAAACATAAAACTGATACGAAATAAACAAATTCTGAACCGTGGCCTCCTAAAGGTAAATTTTATGATGCTACAGTACTTAGAACACATCTCGCCAGAAAATAGTTTTACTTTTTATTTCCCTTTTGCGACTAAGTATTGATGGAATTTTCTTGTAACCAACTATTATAAGATAAAGCCGCATTAATGTGTTGCAGTGAGTTTTCATGATTAGATTTATATTGTGTTAAATTGCTTCTAACAGAAACATCTATAAGCTACGCGAAATATAAAGAGTTGCTTTGATGATCTGCTAACTACCAAAAGAAGTGATAGGCTTGTTTAAAAACAATAGAACAACAAACAAAAAATAGAACAACATTTAGTATTTTCATACTAAACTTATTTAAATGCAAATAATAATAATAATAATCTCAAAAGTAAATAAATATAACAAACATCTCAAAAAACATTACATTGTTTCTGGATTCTTTGGAAACGGTCCTTGTGGTTTGAGTAAACCCAATTTAATAAATACCCAGCCGGCATTATTACGTTGTTTCAACGTTGAAATTCGGTTAAAGCGTTGTTTCAACGTTGTTCAACTATTTCACAACGTTAAATCAACGTTACAGTTTAAACGTTGATTATTTAACGTTATTTCAACGTTAAATCAACGTTACAGTTTAAACGTTGATTATTTAACCTTATTTCAACGTCATTGTTTCAATCGTTGACAAAAAATACGATATAAAATTTAAGCGCGCGCAGAAATGGAATTAAAAACGTAAACATTATTTCAACGGTTTAAGTTATAGAGATTTATAATGGAAAAAAAATGTAATTACTGAACTTATACCATATAGAATTTTCAAGAGATCGAAAACATGTTCAGACGATTTTCCTGAAAGAACATTATCGTTTAAAAATCGATATTTTTTGTTTAACTTGGGCTACAATGCTCAAAGACTGATATTATTAAATGTAAATATAATACAACTTTTTCAAAAAATGATCCATTAAATTATGTTGAATTTAATGCTAAGCGTTGTTTTTTAATAGAGCATCAAGAATTAAAAAAGGAAATTGATAACTTTAAAAAAGAACTTCAGCACGAAATAAAAAAATAAAGATTTATATGAAAAATTAACTTCAACCACATCAGTTATTACTATGAAAACAGACAAATTTGTATATAAACATAATCCAAACAAATCGTGTTATTGCAATTTACTTGTATACAAACATTTATTTTAAAAATAATAGATCTTGCGACTTTTATACTGGCCTTACATCTGTCAATGTGTTTCATCAGTTAGTGCAGTATCACCATTAATCAAAAGAGATAAAGTGGTATTAAAAAAAACATTTACTTCTGTTTTTTGAAATTTAAAAAAATCCTTAACTACTTGGACCAAAATAAATGTAATGCAGCAAAGATGAATTTTTAATGATGCTAATACTTGGATTATTGACAGCTGATTTTGCTGACAGGTTTAATATATTTTTAGGATTAGCGAATGCAATATTTTCTTCATTGTTGAAAGCTTCTAGCTCACTTTTAAACCACATGGTTTTTGTTCCAAGTAAAGATGTTATAAGACAGGCAATGCAAAACAGATTTTAGAAAGTAAATTATTCAGACTAACACTAAATTTTAGATATAACAGAATTTATTATGGAATCACCTTAAAATTTTGACTTACAGAAACTAACAGGGAATGAATACAAACATTACAGCAATATAAAAACATTAGTACCCGTAGCTCCAAATTCGACAATAATTTCTTTAAAAAATTTCTAAAGCTTACAGAAGCTAAATTTCGGATAAAAAAAATTACATATCGCAAAAATTATTTAGATTGTATTACAAAATACTCTTGCATAATGTATGATTAAGGCTTTAATATTAATTTTTTAATACAAATGAAGTGATTTTAATTAAATCCATTTTTATCAGTCACTTTAAAAATATGATGAGTATTTGTATAAAGATAATTAAAATTTCAAACAATAATATTAGCTTTACTTGTTGTTGTTTTTTAGGTGAATCAATTGCAATTGATGGAATATCTTTAAAATGCTGAGGTAATTAAAATAATTTTGAATTATTCAGGAATTTTAAGGATTAAATTATTTAGCAAAAAAATTGTTTGATAATGAGTTCAATTTAAATTAAAAAAAAAAATTAATATTAGTTCTCGCATAATTAATATCAGTTCTCTTATCTATTCAAATTTAGAATATTTTCCAACAATTTTGTGATCTCCATAAATATGAAGGGGAAAGGTGAAAATATGCTTTAAGAGCACTAATTTATATGGTGTAGTGAAAGGTATACCTTTATAAGATATGAAAAACTTTTTTATTCTCATTTTTTATATATTCAAAAATTTCTCCTTGTGTTTTTTTTTTTTTTTTTTTTTTTTATAATTCTTTTTTATTAACAGCTTCTTCTATTAAATACGATGGAATGACTGAAACTTTAATTGATGGCATTTTGTCTAACTTCTAAAAATGTGCTTCATTTCGAAAAGGTGGCGGAAAAGAAAAAAATTTAGATTGATTGATATAAATTTATATTTATTAAAATCAATCTAAAATTTCTTTATTGAAATATTTACATATATTTCAATAAAGAAATATTTTCTTTTTGTCTGCTAATATTTTTTTTTTCAGTGTTAATTCAACATTACAAATTAAAACTCAATTATGAAAAAAGTCTAGAATTGAGTTGATGTTTTAAGTAAAATAAGAAAAGCCCAAAAAGTAACTTATGTAATATTTTTATTTTTTGATAAAAAAAAAATTCCAATAATGTTTAAAATTGGTATTAATATTAATGTTTATTAGATGAAGATGAGTGAAAAATAAGTAATGTTTATTAGATAAAGATAAGTAAAAAATAAGTTACAAGTTATTTTTTGATCTTGAAAATTGTTTGAATGATAATTTATTATTTATCAAAATATTTTATTTTTTAATTTTTGTTGTTTTTATATTTTAATTAAAAGTCGATATTATTGTGTCATATATTATAATATACCTTAAATTATACTATTATATTTTATATTAATAATGAGTATTTTTGTTTTTTTGTATTTCTATTTTTTTTCAATATTCCATAATTATCTTATGTAGATGTTTATGTTTTAGCAACCTAGTATTCTTTCATTATTTGTCTTTGTTATTGAGCCTTAAGTTATTTGAACATAATATATTCAGAACTCTGCTGAATAATAGAGTAATAAATAAATTAATAAAAATGAGTTTAAAATATAATAAATTTATAAAACAAAGAAAATCTTATCTTTGCTAATAATGTCTACTAATATTATTGTTTAGCAAGTATCATGGTTATAAAATGTTCAAATTTAGCTAGTTTAATTAGGCCTGTTAGTGCAATTATATTACAGTTCTTTCATTTTATATTAGTTCATGTAATTTTTTAAAAATCGAATATGCGGAAAGGAGCTGTTTGGAATGAAGATTTACAAGAAGAAGTAATTCCATCTAATTGAATTAGTGATAAAATTGTTTGTCGGCTTCCAGGTACCAAAACATTGACTGCACTAAAATGCAGAGAAGAGTTGGCTTAAGTTTATACAAATAAAAACTAAATTCTCTTCAGGTATTACATCTATATATTACAATTTTTATTTTTTAAATAATGTAGTAAAAAGAGTTATTTTGTTGATACAAAATATATAACTATTTGTATAACTATTTCAATTCTAAAAGAAAGCAAACAGTATTGTGAAAATTTTAAATTCACAACTACAAAAGAAAAATGTGATAATGAGAATGTTGACAAGTGGATGCAAGATTTGCACACAAGTGGAAACTTGGATGTAAATTTTCCATTTGTGTGGTTTGGATGGTTCTCCACAATATAATATATCGCCACAAGCATAATATTAGATTTACTTCATGTTTTTTACAGATAAATCAATTACAGATAAATTAATTAGTTAATTGGTGGAACGTCTTCTAAAGATAGAATACACAAAATTATGCTGAGGTAATCAAAAACAGTATTGGACTCTTACCTCATTTATAATCAGGGTGTCTGCAGCTCCTCTTAAATCCTCTAAAGTCCTCTTTTTTTTTAAAACCACTTCTAAAATCCTCTATTATCCTCTAAAGAGGTAAAAATTTGATCAAAGCTCCTCATTAATTCTTCCTTTTTTAATTTTTGATGGAAGTATAATGTTCAAAATACCCATTCTCGGTCTGCAAAACTGGTTAACGCCTTAAAGTGCATGAAATGTAAAAAGTTGCTTCAGAAAATGCATGCCATTTAACATAATAAATAACATTATTTGATCCATGTCCCAGCCCCATAAGTGTATAAACATGGACGTTAAACCATTAATAAATGGCCACATAAAATTTCTTATAAAAATTTTATGTGGCTACCCCGAAAATTATTTTTAAATGTTAGAAATGTTTTATATTTTGACTACCAATTTATTTTTAATATATTAAAAAGGTTGTTTTATATTTAAATTAAATATTTGAAAAAGTTATTAATAACCAACTAACAGTTATATTATTTTTTTAAAATTCAGAGTATTTTCGAAAACTTATATGGTCTCTATGGATATGAAGGGCAAAGGTGGAAAAATATGTTTTAAGAATACTTATCTATATGGCGTTGAAAAAGATGTGCCTTCATAAGATGTAACACTTTTCCATTCATTATTTATTTTTTAAATCTTCCCTTTTTGATTTTTTTAATATATTTTTTTTATTTACAGCTTCTTCTATTGTATTCAATGGACCAAAAGAACCCTCGGTTAATGGAACATTGTTTGATTTTCTAAATTACGCTTTATTTCAAAAAGGTGGTGGAAAAGAGAAGAAATTTGTGTAGATTTTATTCAATTACATGTAAATATATGTAATATTTGAATATGTATTTTTAAATAAAACAAGTTTTATCTCTTTCTTTAATCATACCTAGCTTTTTTAACTAAACTAAACTGAAAAAGTTCTAAATAGTCTAAGTATAGACTATGAATAGATTTAATATCCATAATATACCTTGATAATGTACAGCAACACTAATGTACATGCATAGTACGTTTTGATGGTGATCATATTTTGACGCACATAGCACGTTTACATACATATATACATTCTGACATACATAGCACGTTTTGATGGTGAAAAAGTGTTTTACAGTCGTTTAACGTTGATAAATCAACGTTAAACACTATCATTTTAAACGTTGTATCAACGTAAATTCAACGTTGTTGTAACGTTTTTTCGCGTCGATTCAACGTTGATATAACGTTTGAACCTAACGTTGATTTAACGTTGATAAATCAACGTCGAAAAAAACTTTCATCCTAAACGTTAAACCAACGTTAATTCAACGTTAGGTTTCAACGATATTTCAACGTTATTTCAACGTTATTTGCCGGCTGGGTAGCTTTTGATTGCATTCAATAAAACTGCCAGTAAGTTTTCCTCTATCTGACAAAAGTATCTGAAGTTCTTAAAACTTCTCAGGATTATTGATATTATTTGTAATTTCTCAGGATTATCGGTGTTATTTGTAATTTCTATATCCAGATAGAGCTCTAACGGACATCTAGTTTAATCTAAAAATACAATAAAATAGAATTAAAACAATAAAATAGAATTAAACTGAAACCCTAAAATATCGTAAATAAAATTTTAAATAAGATTTGTTTTTTGTAGATTAAATGTGTTAAAATTTCAACAAATAAAAATAATAAATAAAAGAATTAACAAAGCATTTCAAAGGTCAACAAGAAAAAATTTTCGTGAGCATTTTTTATTTTGATTTCAAATACGCAATTTATTTCACCATCATGTTAAGTTGTAAAGATATTTGGGTTCAAATCTTTAGCATTTAGAACAAAATCTAATATTGTCAAAAAAAAATTATTTAAAAGTATGTCAACTTGAGTCTCAAAAGAAGCGTATTTTCATGGAGATGTTAGAAAACATAATTTTTTTTACCTAAAATTTTTATTACACAAAAAGTTTTGTTAAATAATGCTTAAGACTCTTAAAACAATTTTAATGAAATTTTTCTCATCAATAATATAAAAAGTATTCATTTTTATTACAAGCAAATATTATTTTTGAAATCTTTATGAAAATACGCTTCTGTTGAGAACCAGGTTGTTTTTTTTTGTTGTTGAAAATATTAAGGATTTTATCCCAAATGCTAAAGATTTTACCCAAATATGTTTACAATTTAACGTGATGGTGAAAAATAAGTTTTTCACCATCACGTTTTTTTTTTGAAATCAAAATGAGAAATGCTATACAAAAAACATATTGTTTGGTCGGCTTCAGAAAAGTATATATTTTTTTGTTGGCCTGTGTTATTAATACCCACTATGTTTGTTAAAACTAACGCATGATAAGTGTTAACATCTTATGCAGGTAGATGCCTGCATATTACTTGCCTTTGTAAAATAAAATTATTCACGGAATTTGATTGCTAAAAAATGAAATTTTTTTTAGGGAATTTCTCTTTGATTTCCCTCTATTTTCTGTTTATTATTTTTTTTTTTTTCATTACTTCACTGGGGGTAATCTCTTTTTCTTTAACTCGTTTTCTTTGCATTAAAACATCTTAAAAACTACTGCGTTCGAACGAAAGTGAAAGGATTATCATTTACGTAAACGTAGGAATGTCTGCTGACGTCAAAGATCAAGCCCAATAGATCTGAAAAATTTACGTTAAAACAAATGTATTTTCAAAAGATTTTTTAAGACAGCAGACAATACTAATTAGGAAAATAACCAGAAGGAAAAAAAAAAAAAAAATAGACGCAAAAGTAAATTACATCGCATCACGCTCTAAAAATAATTATATATGTTATATAAAATAAATTTATCTAATTAAATTAAAAAAAAATTTACAATTAACAGAAAAAATTTATAATATAAAAATTTTTATATTATAAATTTTTAAAACCTTTTTAAAAAAAACTATTAAAAAACAGACATCATTAACAAAAAGTTATTTATAACAAGACAAGAAAGCAGACAATATAATAATCATATACTAGACGAATAGAAAAAATAAATAAAACCTCATCAGAGTCTAGTAGATAAAGGTCGAGAAGATTAACGTCATTAAATGTCTGATGCCATTAGAATGTAAATGTTCGAAGATATTTTTTTTCTTTCTTTATATTCATTCAATCTCTAAATTTTTAATTTATATCAATTCAAACATTATAATTTTATTTTTTTCCTTTTTTGCTTTTTTTTATCAACTAAAAATAAATGCTAATCATTAAATTTTTTATAACATTTTTTTGATGGGGTGGAAAATTTTATGTATTTTATAATTATTACAGTTATAAAGACTTTCGATAACATCTTAAGGCTGGCCCGTTAGAACAAAAATTGAATTTGAAGGGGAAGGGTGGGGTGGGGGGGGGGAGGCAATACTACTGGGTAGATCAAGTAGTAGTTGGTCAAAAATATTTGTCAAAGGAACTTACGCCGAAAATACAGATATGAAATTAGGTCTTTTTTATCTTTTTTTCTTTTATATCTTAATATGTAATTGCTTGCTTTTTTCTAAAAACTAACTTCAAAATTATTTATTTGAAAAATTATTGGGGGGCAAATGTTCCTGCTATCCCTTCTCCCGATTGCTGCGGGCCTGTAAAGTTCAAATAATGATTGATAATTTTAGAAATTGTTTTAACATTTTACTCTCTTTTGATAGTTTGGCTGATACGGTTGTAGTTACCCCCTGTTTGCACATTACTATTATTATTGGAATGAGACTTTTTATAAAGATATTATGTTATATATGTTATATATGTTAAGTTATATATATATGTTATACATATATGTTATTATATGTTATAATTTTTACGTTATTTGAATATGTAAGGTATTTTAAAGACAAATCATTTGTATTAACGTGAAACTGTAAACTGTTGATGCCAATAAAAAAAAATTACCCCTAAAAATATTTTTTCTTCCATATCCTGCTACCACCTGGTTTCTTCTTAGATTAAAATCTTTTTTTTTTCTCATAACAAAAAATGCAGATATGGATGAAGCTAGTAAATAAACTAAAACAGGCGACTAATTTTTTTATTATTAAATTTTCATATTTATATTTACTATATATATATATATATATATATATATATATATATATATATATATATATATATATATATATATATATATATATATATATATATATATATATATATATATATATATATATATATAATATAAATTTTATACTAAAGTTTTTATACATATATTAAATATAAAATGACGATTGTTCTTGGAAATCATTACTTATTTTCAATCAGGTAAACATAAAACAGCTACTAGCTGTTTTTTTTTAAATCAATTTGAAATCAGGAGGTTATACTGAAATACAACTTGGAGTTGTTTTTCAGCTTAACCTTCGACAAGTAATGATAGTGTTAAATCTTTCAATTAGTTGTTTTTGATCATAAAACGACTAAAAAAGCTATAAAAAAACAAGATCTTTAAAAATAAGCAGTTTACAAAGGCTTTTCTTTTTATTTTCTTGTAGCATGTTCCAATACTTTATTTAACTAATTTTTTCTGTCACATTCTAATCAAATTTTACTATTAGTAAAATTTGATCCTTTCCTCGCCCAACATTTGATAACTCATGGAAACAAAAAGAAAGATTGTATGTCATACTTATCTAAAAAGATTTGCAAAGAACTTGTTCACTTAGCCGCCGAGGTTATGGAATTTATAAGTAATATGATCATCCTTAAGTAACGTTCATTGTTGATTCTACTCCCAATGTATAAATTTAAAAAACTAGTTGAGCGGCTCTTAGCATTTATTCCCATGCATAATCATTTTACAACTTCTATGCATGAAATCGTTTTGAAAAAGTTAGATTAGTATGCGATTAAGATTCAAAATAGCTGTGGCCATTCATACAACAATGCTAGTATTGTGTCTGGTATCTACTTTGGTTTACAAGCAAGAATTAAAGAAATCAATGTTTACGTCGAATAGATTCCGTGTGTTGCTCACTATTTGAACCTTGTAGGAGTGAGTATCGCGGAATCCAACGGAGCTGTTGTTGATTT